CCCCCCCCCCCCCCCCCACCCCCTATCACTGACATTGTGCGGCACTATATATTTACGGGAGTTCTATTTTGCGGATGGGCGTTTTATAGTTATTTTTGTATTTTGCGGGATTTTGAATTAATTTTTGCTATTTTTAGGACCAGCATTTGCGTCTGCAGAACACTACTGAAATGAAATTTTCTGTAACTTAGGGCAACCGAAACTACGCTACCGTTCAGACAATCGAATTATGCTTTTTTCCATCTAAGGTATTATTCTTTGGTGGCAAACAGATGAATCTAAGACATTCTCTGATAATTGTTACTGTTGGCTAATAAAAAAATATAAGAAACGAACACGGCTCAGAAACCATTTTTTCAAAGTCAATGGAAAATCGTTCTATCAATAAGATATTTCGCGCGGAGTTTGTGAGATTGGCGTTGTTTAGCAGGGTGGCTCTTGGTACAATAAAGTCAATAAAGAATAGAATTTAATATGAGAGCAGAAATTCCACTAATCCTGATGAATGCATATATTTTACAACAGAATTACTTGGAAAGGTATGGTTACTTATCGCCTGCTGATGTGGAAATAGGGAAAACAAAGCTAAATTCTGGAAAAGTTTCTGACGCCGTGCGAAAACTTCAGCATTTCGCGGGGCTCAATGAAACAGGGAATCCGCTGGACCCAAGTACCGTAGAATTGGTTACCAAGCAATGGTGCGGTTTTCGCGATCTTGGTAATACGGCGCAGTTTAAGAGGAGAAGGAGATATGCTCTACATGGCACCTGGTGGCGTAAACATGTAAGTCACCATCACGTACGAAAAAGAGAACGGAATTGCGCTTTTTTTTCAGTTTTGGTTTATTACGCAATGCTTTTAAGAAGATTCCATGACGAGCCAAAATACAGACCTTTACAATGTAGATTCTAAGACGGGGACGACTACGAGTACCAAAAGTAGTTCTCGCACGTGAACCAGTATTATTTTGGCGGGAAAACGCGATAGCCGTTATCATTCTACTACGTAGTCGTAGTGGCGGAAACAGGTTATCAAATGTCAAAAGTTTTATCATTTTGCGATCGAGAGAGAGCTTTTAAACCTCTTTCATTAAAGGTAACAGTGCAAACGTTTCTGGTAAAAAAAAAGTGCAATAAAGCTTTTCGGGATGTTTATTTTTTTAGAATAGGCAAAAAACTTGGAGGCCCTTGAATTCCTTGAAGTCAAATCTCGTTCTCGTCTTCGAATCTTTTAAAGGTCTCATTTCAAAAAAACTAAAATTTAATGGAAATACACAAATTTCCTAACATCGCTTTTCTGGTACTAGATGATGATGACTAGATGATTTGTTTCTCCTGTAACTGGGCATTTATTTACTTGAATTTTAGCTGATATAATAACGTTACCCTATCTAAGGATTACACCGGGAAACGCCGGAAACGCAAACAAGGGCAAAATCGATAAATCTTCACGGTCACCAATAGTGCAATTAGTGGTTTATCTTCCTATATTTATTGTGTGAAAAATTCGTCAACGTACTCGCTAACTTGTGCTTCACGGCAGCAGTAGCTCAGTCGGAAGCGCGCTTGTCCGAAGAGCGGGCGGGAGGTCGGTAAGTTCGAACCAATACTTACGGTGGGTTAAAAAAACTGAGAAACGAAGTATAGTACCTTTGCCCAGCAAGAGGCTAGACCTTTGCGTGGCTCAGATGACCAGTTAAAATAGCGGTCCCATCTCCAGCAGGAGACGTAAAATTAGTGCCTTAATTAGAACTTTTGTGCTAAATACATTGACACTCAAATAAAGTGCATCTGTTTTTATTCTGAAACTTCGCCAGGATTTGAAATACAAGATGGTGAAGTATACAACAGACCTGTCAGTAAAGGAGGTAGACAAAACAATTAAGGCTGCCATGGACTTATGGGCAAAGGTAACTCCGCTAACCTTCACCAAAGTGACGAGTGGACCAGCCGATATAGATATTTTCTTCGATAAAGAAGGAGATAAAGGATACTCCTTTGATGGAAGAGGAGGGGAGCTTGCGTTCGCGTACTTCCCTGGAAATAATGCAGGTACGTTTCTTGAAAATATATTCCGTCTCCATGTACGATGTAGAGTGAGAACTCGGGAACCTCTATTCATGGGACGCCTGGATCCATTCAGAATACACACAAGTTGGTCCTGGAAAATGTTCATATAATCTTTGTATTTGTTTCCTGTATCGAAGGGACACATCTAGTCAGGGGAAAGGGACACTGTCTGGGTCCTGAAACCTTGGTTTAACCTCCGCTCAGTGGACACCTTAGCACTCCAAAACACGCACTCACGAAAGCACTTCCAAAAAGCCCTAGCAAACGCAAAAATCGTTCATAGGTTTAAGTGTGCCAGGATAGTCACAATGACACCAACGTTCACAACATGAACTATCTCACTTAAATCGATGTACTGCATTTGTGGGTATTCAATACAAAATTACGAAGAAACTAGCTGCTTGAAATAGTGACATTTAAGAGTCTTCATAGCCAATAACGTCACCAGGGCTTACCTTACAGACGACCAATAACATCACGACTTAACTGGCCAATCATGTCAATAACCAGAGTTTAATACCAACAACTGACGTGAGACAACTCACTTTGACTCTGAAGATGACTACCACACAGGTTGTCGAAACGTCAGTCACTGTCAACAACAACAGTCCTATTCAGGACTACGATCACCCGGTCGATCATGTTTCACCTTCAATATTTTTTCTGTCGTTGTTTCTGTTTTTCTGGCCTACAACAGGACTTTTTGGGGATGTTCATTTTGACGATGAAGAACAATTTACCACCAACAATAAAGGAGGAGGAGTGGATCTTTTTTGGCTGGCGCTTCATGAACTGGGGCACAGTCTGGGTCTTGATCATTCTTCAAATAAGGACGCCATCATGTATCCGATTTACCGTGGCAGTCGTCCGGGACTTCAACTTCATCGCGATGACATTATGGGAATTCAGCAGCTCTATAGTGAGTTAAAGAAAATAGTCTTTACTTTACTTTATTGAAATTCGACACGGTGACTGTGGATGAAACAGGACACACGTCCCATTTGATATCAACCTCTTCTTTACCCACCCAGCCCATGAAAGATTGTGCCACACCACCTACTACTACCCTTCACCCACCCCACTTTGTGAGAGACATCCTTTTCTATTTTTTCCACAAAAAAACTGAGACATGACTGAATAAAATCTACTCCAAAATCTTAAAATCCACTGTCTTTGAATGACGATATCTCAGAGTTCACATTTCACCCAAAACATCCATCATTTGAAAGCTGACTTTTGTTTCAGTGTCTTTGCGTCAAGACATTTTTGTCAGAATTTCTTGTATAGGCCTTTTTTGTTTACATAGACGGCGTATTAGCTCCGTATTGGCTACGCCACTGTCATTTCATACCAGGGATCGGAATTCTCCCTAGATATTTCGTTAATGACGCCAGGAGCCCATGACTTATGAGCTCCTGGTTGAACTAAAAAAGATTATGCAGGTGCACAAAAAATGATTGTGATTATAATGACTGATCCACAAAATGATCTTTGAATAACAAGAGAGAGAGAGAGAGAGAGAGAGAGAGAGAGAGAGAGAGAGAAAGAGATCACTTTCACGTTCTCCAAGTTTCTAGCGAAATCATATTAGTCTTTCTAGATTTTTTTTTAGGTTTTTTACTTCTTTCCTAACTGTCTTAGCCAAAGACAATTAACAGTAATCTGTATCATTTATTTTTAAGAACCCCTTACCTTTCATATACCTGAAGCCTGTGAAAGGTACCCGACCCCCTTACGGGCGGAGTTCCCCCCTTTTAGGCCATTATAGGGAGTACACCCCCCGGACTATTAGCTCATCTAACCTGTTGATAAACCTGACGTTGAGTGGTCTATTTTTTTTCTTCATTTATTTTTCCACTTTTGACACGTTTCTTTTTTCTTCTAATCCGCCATCAGGAGAGTCAACAATTACTAAAGTTACAACAACACCTCAAGTGCACACGACGCAGCAGTCTATCCCAGGAAAACCAGACCCATGTGACAGCACTCTTGATGCAATGGTAATGACCGCTGATGAGACTACCTACGCGTTTAAGGGCGCATATTTTTGGCCAGTTGGCGACTATGGTGTTTTTACGGAAGCGCTGAAGATATCCGAGTTCTGGGAAGGTCTAGAGAGTGATATTGATGCTGCTTACACGAGACAGTATGACGGGCTTACCTTCATATTTAAAGGATCAAAGTGAGTAACTGTTTTTCTTTTTTATCTGACTCTTTCCTCGGGGCTCTCTCAAACCCGATTAGATTATGACAAAGGAATAACGATTCATACTTTGTCGATGCGTGGATTGTGTTTGGCGGCCATTAATAATTGTGTGGTTGGTAGGTGCGAGGTCAGGGGGCCTGTTTCTCGAAAGGCTCTGTAACTTTTCGGACCAGAAGGCAAATTTTAAAATTAAAACCTGTTAAATAGTAGCACAGGTCCAAGTTCACAAACCTGTCAATTTTGATTCNCTTACACGAGACAGTATGACGGGCTTACCTTCATATTTAAAGGATCAAAGTGAGTAACTGTTTTTCTTTTTTATCTGACTCTTTCCTCGGGGCTCTCTCAAACCCGATTAGATTATGACAAAGGAATAACGGTTCATACTTTGTCGATGCGTGGATTGTGTTTGGCGGCCATTAATAATTGTGTGGTTGGTAGGTGCGAGGTCAGGGGGCCTGTTTCTCGAAAGGTTCTGTAACTTTTCGGACCAGAAGGCAAATTTTAAAATTAAAACCTGTTAAATAGTAGCACAGGTCCAAGTTCACAAACCTGTCAATTTTGCTTCGTTAACTGATGGTTTCATTGTATCATTTTCAAAATTATAGGAACTTTGATGATGAATGCAAACACGTTTAACATAAGCTTTCCAGTCCCGAAAAGTTACCGAGACTTTCAAAAAACGGGCCCCTCATGAGAACCGATAAAACGTCGGAGCTGCTCGGATCACCAGTTATAATATGGCTCAAATCTTACGTAATCTTATTTTTAAAGATCCATGGCCAGTGCAGAAAAACAACCTTTTCCAATTTCGAAACAGGCCTTTTCTGGTTTTCGTTTTCGCGTGCTGGTTCGGCTCATGCATAAGATTAGAAAAGTTTCCATTTCTCTTCGACTTTGACCACTCAGTTGAAATAATGGACGGGGTGAATTTCCTTGCGTTTACTGACGGTTTTAAACTAGACACTCACTTTGGTTACCACCCTAATTAATTTGCATTGCTTTCTTTTTACACTGTGATTGGTTGACAGATTTCGCGCCGTTATCCAACTCAATGTAATTGCCATATGCCAGCTTGCGTTTTCCCGCGTTTTAGCCCAGTTAGCTGATTGTTTCATTGGATAGTAAAAACCCTTGAATATACAGGCCCACTCAACGCTCAATAAAACCGATTGGCTCCTTCATGCAAGATCTCTAATGTAGAGATGCCAGAGCCAGAACTCACTTGAAGTGGCAATTAAAACGAAACTGAATGCAAGGCTGGCAAAATACAGCAAAGGGCTGATTTAATTGACGCCAAAATTTCGGCTAACAAAATCAGTCTTCCTCAGGGCCAGAGCTGCACTGAAAGGCTCTGGCCCTGAGGAAGGCTAATTTTGTTAGCTGAAAACAGGAGCCCACGAATTCCACAAATAAATCAACCTTTTGCGTTATGGCCAGTCTTGCATTCAGATTTGTTCATTGGATAGCTCGCGTATGCTATGGTTGCTTTAGAATGGGGTTCCTTAATCGCGAAAATTCTTTCTCTTTGTAGGTACTGGACGTACAAAAACATGAATCTAGTGAAAGGGGCATCAAACGTTTCAGATCTAAACCTACCCAACGCAGTCCACAACATGGATGCGGCAGTTGAGCGGGGAGCTGAAGGACTCTTATATATCTTCAAGGGCGACAAGTTTTGGCGTTACGATGGTTATAAGAAAAGCGTTGATCCTGGTTACCCCAAGCTTATTCGATCTGTGCTTCCGGGTTTACAGAGAAACATACACGCTGCTCTTCAGTGGAAAAATGGCAAGACGTTCTTTTTCAAGGGGGAACGATATTACGTACTAGATGACTCGTCCTGGCGTATTCGGCAAGGTTTTCCAAAATCGATCTCAACCTACTGGATGGGTTGTTCACCAGAGGGATTAGCGTCGGGAAGAATTTTACCGCATGGCTCGGTAAGAAAGAAGAAGCAGCAGATTCCCGCAAAAAACAATGGTGTCCAAAAGATTAAAGGTGGATTTGTAATGATAACGATTTTGTACCTACTCATCAGTCAGTATTTGTAGATTAATTAACAAATCGAAAACAATTTTCCATGGTCTGTACTCTAATCGACCATAAAAATGATGTTAAAAAAATTGTTGTCGATTTGTCAGTGCTAGGCCTGGACACAAAAATCTCGAAAAATGGCCTAAAAATCTACCTGGAAATTCTCGAAAAATGTCTATAAATCCCAAGTTACCTCTAAAAATCTCGAAATTTATTCTAAAAATCCCGATTTACCCCAATTTTTTTCTGAAATAATGACATAATTTGCAAAAGGTGCGGTAAATGGTAATATATTTACTAGACAAGTATGTGGTTCGTCTAGTTTACATATTTTTGTTTCAAACACACGATAACGACAGTAAGCACTTAGTAGAGTTTGACATTTCATGTGGTCTATAACCGAACTTGTTAGTTAGAACCAACCACCCAAATTTGTTTTTGTCTTTTTTTTGCTATCGGCTGTATGTTTTCTAAACATTATCGTCTAAAAAATCCTAAGATTTTCTTAGATTTTCAAAAAATCCCATTTGACTCTAAATCCCACCAAAATCTGGATTTTTGGATCTAGGCCTAGTCTAGCTGTACTCTTTTCGAACATAGCTCTCGACCAATTAGCGCACGAGAAATCACTCAGTTGTTGTAAAAACAAAATTGGACTAATCTTCTTTTGCTGGCTGCCCCTATCAAGAACATGATTTTTAAAAAAATCCCTGTGTAAAATTCCCAATAGATTACTGAGAAATCTAAAGCAGTTTATTTATTTTTTAAGCCGTACATTCATTCGTAAAGAGACCATTATGTCCAGGGTATCCTTGCTGTGAAAGTCTCAGTGTCTGCTATCGCGCACAAAGCGGTATTTTGTCAGTCCACACACTTGAAACAGCATCATTGAAAGATACATGTGTCTCATGCAAAAAAAAAAATTTTACGAGTATTTTCTTCGACTCTCTCTGAACGTCAGTTTTTAACGCACTCAGACTTAGCGCAGAGAAAACCCTGAGACGAGAACGGAAACCTTGTATAAATGTTATATCTTCTCTAGGAAAAATGTTTCCATTATGACCTATATCCAGAGTAAAAAATATACATAAGTGTACAGGTTTTAAATTATGTTTCTATCGTTGTTTTATATATTTATCTCTAAGAGCAAAGTTTATGCGTAGATATAACAGCGCGTCAATTATATCAGAATTATGAAACAATCACTGCTGAAGATTTTTGTCTGAAAAATAAAACAAACACTCATATACTCGAGCACCGAGAATAAGTTTTAAGGTGCCTTTGAGCCGTAAAATGTTTTGTTTCATGTGTACCTTCTTGCGGGACATGATCAAGTGCTAAAAGTTCTTGTGGGATCAAATTCTTGGTTTGAAACCACTTGACAAGGCGGCTATGTTCTGTTGAGGAAAAAAGTGATCATGAAATAGTGTTGTTTCGCAGAAGTCGCATTTCTAATTCTAGTCAATCTACAAGGCCGCCGGGATATCAGCTGCAAAGCAGCAATGCCTAAGCATTAACTACTTTGAGTGAATTATTTTAACTTGTTTAAAAGCTTTCTATACCAATAGCTCTGTACATATTTATTCCCAGAGTTTTTTCTAGGTTTTTTTTATAGAATTGTATTACGGATTGTGATAATGGTTATGGTGTATAAATTGTAATTGGTAACAAGTAACAATATGAAGAAAATATTTTTATGTATATAATTATACATATCTTCTTAATCTACTACGCTCTAGTCCTTCCGTTGAGCACTCTGCCGATAGGCGTGCATACGTATCAACTCGTATACATCTTGTCTTCATTTACGTATCAGTGCCAAACTACTTCTCCTGATAAGTGTTGTTTATTTTATCATGGTTATTTTATGAGAGAAAAAGAATATATATATATATATATTTTTAAACCAGAGAGAACAGAATATTAAAAAAGCAAATTAAAAGGTTATTCATTCAGTGATGGACGTTGTTTACCCCTTTCAGTATTGCAGTTTCCTCTCTTGGAAACAAATGTTGTTCACCATTTATAAAATGTTTCCGGAAAATACGATTGAACAGTACATGGAACACTGCTTTTCAGGTCGTTTCCTTAGAAAACCTCCGAGAGCAACAGGGCGTCTGAAAGGTAAACAAAGGTCGTACTGTTTTCCCGGTTCGGAAGGGTTCAAACAGAAATTCGTGTTCCGGCATTTCTTTAAAGCAGTTTCAAGCATACGCCACTTGTGGCATCGCCCATAATGCACCTTGTTTTCAATTTCTCTTGGGACGGCTGTAATAGCCAGGCGAAATGAAAAACAAAGGTTATGCAAAATTTGGGGGTATTATGGGAGATGTGCAAGTGGCATATTCACGACCGCTTTCTGGCAAATGAAACTGATTTGTGGAAATAGTAAACGCGATTCCGGTACGAAATTTACTAGACACGTCCTGAAGTTTGCTTACCATGTCCCACTGAACTGTAAACCAACCAGTTTTGCCCAAGTAAATGGTAAACAACCAACGGTTGGCACTTTGAAATCCCATTAAAGACCCTTAGAATTACTGAACCTTTTTTGAACAGTTTCTAATCAGAGAAAAAGAAATGAATAGCCCAGGCTGGAGCCCAACTTCGTCCTTCAGGCTTTTTCCCTTCGAAAGTTAGAAAGGCTTTTCTGACGCGAGCCTTGGGGACGAGGTTGCCCAGAATCGATCCTGCGCCTACTTACCCCGGGGTGAGGTACTCCCTTATATAAGCCATATACGGTTTGTCGCCCCAAAGGGTATGGCCTTGGTTTGATCTGAAAACAGGTACAGAATTCAAAAATGGATGTTAGGAAATCGTTTTTACTGCTATTCTAGTCTAAGCAATGATGACATAATTTCTTCGTAGCCAGGTCTGAAAACGGGTATTAAAGCGGTCAGGTCTGAAAACAGGTGTGAAAAAATGGTCTTAAATAGGGTCATGATTTGGAGAACTGTGCGGCATACCCCCACCCAGAATTCCCACGTCTATCCCCCAGGCTCCTTACACAGTGTTACGCTATATCCTCTCTCGTTATGACGCCACACTAACAGTGTTTGTCGACAAACACCGAATATGGGTGGATTCATTTGCAGCAAACAGGTATAACTTTAACATTTGTATGCGGGAATTTTTTTTTCATTTTTGAGCTTAAGAACATTGAGAAAAAATTCAGCTGGCAAATGCAACGGTAAGACGGGTATTCTGCTCGGGGGGTGGGGTGACTCCCTATAATGACCCCTACCAGGTACTAATCGGCTCCTGTCTAAAGTAAAGTATAACAGATGCGGTTCATCATGGCTGCAAAAAAGTCAAGAAAACTTACTGGTTTGTGATTTACTGTATATTTTACAGACAGAGCATTTACCGAAGTTTAAGGAGATGCAAAGTTCTGAAAGGAATACCATTTGTCCGACATAAGGTATACAAAGGGGTACCTTTTATGTCTAAAATGGTTTATAAAAGGGTGAGGTGTTGGACCTCTTGGCGGGGCCTCCCAGTATAAAACTTTGATGAGTGGCCCCCCTTCCCGCCCCGGAGGAGAAAATGACCGAGAATTTTTTTGGATCTTTAGCCAGTCTACTTCTATACAGATACCAAAAAAAGATGGAGAAAAGTAATTTTTTCCCCTGCGACCCACGGCGCAAAGATTTCAGAATGAAGGATTAAATTTCCCTTACTGACAGATCAATACTCGGACAAAAACTAGGCCAACAGCAGCTGGGATACTGTACTGTCTAAACGGGCTTCCGCACACCAGAAAGTGTATGAAAAGGGCTTATTCTATTTTGCGAAACGAAACGAAATATATGGGAGAGGGAGAAAAAATGCTTATTAACCTAAACACAGTTTAAGACAACATTGACAATGTGTTTGGAAGTAATATATAGTTGACGAAAAATGACGGATTTTTACCTTTTTCGCAAAGTAGTAATTTCAGTACAATTACTATTTTGCGAAATGGCGTTTTTCAGCTTTATTTAGAAAATATGTCCTTTTCGTCTGAAACAAATTGTGTCCACCAATAAAATGATTAATATTTCGAACAGTCTGGGGACTTTCTCATATTATTGACCGTACTAGAACTTATTTCGCAAAGTAGTAATTTTTCCAGAATTACTATTTTGCGAAATGGCGTTTTTTCACCTATATTTATAATTAAGCAAATATGTCCTTTTCATCTGAAACAAATTGTGTCCACCAATAAAATGATTAATATTTCGAAGAGTCTGGTGACTTCTCATTTTATTGACCGTACTAGAACTCATTTCGCAAAGTAGTAATTTTGCCAGAATTACTATTTTGCGAAATGACGTTTTTTAACCTTTTTTCCCCTATATTTATTTTTTATTTTTTGCCGCGCGGATTATAGATGGCCTAAAAATCAAACTTGTAATGACATTGGGCCTATTACCGATTACGAAATGGACGCTCTATAGCTTCATAGGCTCCTCGTTAGGCCCTGTTCCTTATTCCCAGTAAATTTTCACAACAACAACAGCAACAAAAATGAGTTTCATATTAGCTGGTGATATTTGGTGGTGAGGTGAGGCACGCACATTTGTATTTCCCAGGTTATTTATTTTCTTTTCATGATTTCTTTCAGTACCGTGTACTAAAAGAAAATGGCGCGCATAATAAGACGATTATCGCAATAGTAAATGCTGCTTTTAGGATCAAGGGAATAATCTATCGCAAAAAAGTAACTGTTTGATAAAAATAACATCCTACTATACGTATCACATAATACATCCAAAATTAGTTAGTTGAGTTTGGTTAACTTTTTGGAATACTTTAATCAAATTACTGAGAACGGGGAACTGAGAACCATTATTTTAATCTTTAACAAATCAGAAATTTCTTTTGATTATACTTTTTGATAATGTGATATATTAGTTTTTTAATG